TTAAACCTTAATGGTCTTATCATATTAAGGATGTGTTGGTGTTTCCTCTCTATAGTGTTATTCGTTAAGGTGTTCCGATGCAAGAAGTTTGGTAAAGGATGCCTCTAGAGGAAAGAAATGGGGGCATGTTGAACTCTTGACCATTGTTTGTTATGAGAGTTTGAAGTTTAGTTTAAAGCTGGGTCTTCACAAGAGCATAAAACTATTCTATAAAACTCTAGCCTCATTTTTTTTTTTTCATCAAATAAACCCAAGTAGCTCTACTAAAATCATCCACAATGGTGAGAAAATATAAATGACCGAGAGATAGAAGGAGTAAACATAGGTCTCCATATATCCATATGAACTAGCTGGAAATAGTGAATAGTAAAAGAATGACTACACGGGAAGGATAATCTCTTTTGCTTAGCATAATGACAAATTTCTCAATGTTGCATTGTCACATTATATGGAATGGTCTGAAGGAAATGTATGTGAAAGTTTTAATTTAGAGTTAGATAAGTGGCTTAATCTATAATGCCATAAAACATCAAAACTAGAGAAACAATTGAACAAATTTAAGGTGTATTGGTAGAATGAACATAAGGAATAGAAGGTCATTTCATTAAGTATAAACCATGCCTCTCCTTAGCTAAACCAATCATTCTCTTAGAGTGAAGGTCCTAAATAACACAAGAAGAAGAAGAGAAATAAAAAATAGTTTAAAAATTTTATCAACTTACTAGCGAGATATCGGATTAAAAGAGAAAGTAGAAACAAACAAAGCATCTGTCAAAACAAAGGAATAAGACAAAGTGACAATGCCTTTGTGAGTAACTCGGAACTTATTAATCATTAAGTAGTTTAACAAATATGTGTGTGACATTGTGATATGAAGAAAAATAGGACATTGAACATATGATGTGATCTACGGTACCAATGTTAAGTATCCAAATAGGTGTATTAATTTTATGTGTGGAATTCGAAGAGGAAAAATGATTACATGCAAAATTTGGTGTGGTTGAAAAATGTGCGAAATGCTATTAACGAGTTGATAGAAGAAGTGTTAGCATAGGTGAAAAAGAATTAGGGGATTGATGAGGTAAAAGAGACATCAAACTCATGTGCTAGTCCCGAGAAAGGGTAACAAATTGTTATGGGGGTCCCATGACTACCGAGGTCGAGCAAGGCAATGTCCCGAGAACAAGGAGAATTAGCATTAGAAGAAGGATAGGATGTTGCGACTTGATTAGCAATGGCTGGCAATCCTTGTTTAGTGCTCTTAAATCTAGGTAGGGATCCATGCTTCTTATAGCAACGATCCACAATATAGCATGTTCGACCACGAAAAGTATAAACATGTCACTTCCCCTTAAAATGAGAACTATTACTAGAACTAGAACTAGGCCGGGATCCAAAAGAACGAGGGCCGAACCATGAGCACCAAACTTAGATGGACTAGAATAAGGAAGCGCCTTATTGTAGAACATAGCAAAAGTAAGACTAGATCCGAAGAAATATGACGAACACCAAGCTATCTCTCATGTTGACCAACAAAAGCAAAAACACGATTTATAAAGGGTAAGAGATCCATCAACATAATCTAGGATTTAACGGTTGCAAAATTATCATTTAAACCTCTTAAAAAACAAATAACATGATCACTCTTTTGGAAATTCTTGACTTTGTCAAAAGCAACACGGGAACATTTAGGATTACAATCACAAGTAGGTATGGAACGCAAGTTGGTGAACTCATCCCGAGAGTTTTCAACCGAGTATAATAAACACTAACGAGAGATAATACCCTATTGAACAAGTGCATGTCCTCTTGGAGCTTAGCGATGCAAAAGTGGTCACCATGAGAGAAGCATTCCTTAAGATCCAGTCGGAGATCAAGAGCAATGTCAATCAACGAACACTCCGGGTAATAGTAAGAGATAAAGCATGAAACAACTAAGATAAGACCATAGTGTTATAACGTTCCTAATGAATGTAGAGAGGATCGATATCTAGTAGAATATGGATGCTACCATCAATAAATTTAAGCTTATTTTTTGAAAGCAAAGCCATATGCATGGCACAAGACCAAGCATGATAGTTTGAATTTGTTAAAAGAGACGAGACAAGAACAAGAGAGGGATTATAATTTGGATGAAAATAGTATGGATTGGAGGGAAGATCCTCCGGTTTAGGACCGGATCAAAGAGGAACAATAGCCATGGAAGTAGAAGAAGGAACTGCGAAGAACACAGAGCCAAAGAAAAGAAACGAAAGAGAAGGAAGAAAACAAGCGAGGAGCGACTCAAACAAAGATGTTTGGCTACCCGAAAAACGATGAACAAAGAACACATGAGGAAAATTCCTGCTCTAATACCATAACAAATTATTTAGGAAATCTAAATAATGATTTTTATTCCTCTTCTTTGTAATTACAAGTATATATACAAGGAACAAAAAGACAAGGAAAGAAACTAACCTAGTAATCTAATTACATATGGCATAACGGACTAAGGAGAAAAAGGAAAAAACCTAACTAACTAGAGAGAAGGGAAGAAACGAGTAAAACAAAAAGGAATGAAAAAAAAACAGCTAAAAAATACTAGTCTAATGCGGTTGATAAATTTTTAAAAATAGAATACACAAATAATATATATATATATATATATATATATATATATATATATATATATATATATATATATATATATAAACACATATATCAAAACACTCGTGCACAATTGACATATACATTAGCAAGTCAAATGTCAATATAATAGCCACATCAGGGCATATTTGAGGAGATTTAATACAAAGAAGTATTTGAATAAAAAAACAAATTGAAAATTTACACGCTAAAATATCTATAACTATATATAAAAACACAAGCTTCATAAATTTTTTTTTATATACTATAATACCCTTAAATACTTTTAAAATACTATAGTACCCTTAAATTATTTAAAGGATCATTATAAACTTGTTTAATACATATATGTTTTCTATATTTTCAATATAATTAACTTTTTGAATATGTGTTTCCTATTTAACTTTTTTTATTCGCTTTTCCTAATATGTGTTTTCTATATAACTTTTTCCTTTCCATTTCTCTTATTGTACTGCGTTTCTTATTTTCTTATTTTCTTTTTTCTTTTTCGTTTGGATTCAATACCTTTTGTGTTTCTTATATAACATTTTTAGTTCACTTTTTCCATATAACTTTTTTTGCATACCATGACGGGAACTTTTTTCTATAACACCATAATCTTTTTTTTTCGAACACGACCATGAAAAATCTTTGATTTTAAGTCTACATCAAAACACCATTAAAAAAAAAAAAAAAAAAAAAAAAAAAAAAAAACCCTTTTTTTTTATTCATATATTTATAGTGGATTCAATAAACAACAAAAACAAGACTACCTAGCTCTACAATCCCCTGATAATTTCCCTATAATTTTTAAAAAGGGCTTCTATTGTTTCTTTAATATTATTTAGCTATTAGAAATTAAAAAAAAAAATTGAATGGTTTATTTTTTAAATATTTTAAGCTGCGGATGTTATATTTTTTAAAAATATTTTGAATATAGTTCATGAATATGGAACCATTAATGTAGTAATGTTTAATAAAACTTGAATAGCCCACATGCAACGGACATATCTAAAAATAAATTCCAAATGAAAATAGAGATACTCAAATAGAAAAAATTTTAAAATTTTGCACACTAAATATGAAATAATCTCATAAGCTATTGGCAAAGGCTATATATAATATTAGCAGATTTTAGAGACTAAAAAAGGCAAATTACACACAGACTGCAACAAATCTTATTTTCAACAATAATAGTTTTTTTTTTTTTTAACCAAAAGAAGTGGCTTAGTGGTAGGAGATTTGGATTTCTAATTTTAAAATTTAAGGTTCAAATACCATTTTTCATGTTTATTTATGACCATTACAAGATTTATGTCTGTTTTTTAAGTTTCAATAGTATAAAAGACCTGAAATTTCTGTTTTTAAAATCAATTTGTAATCACTGAAGCTGGTTGAAAAAAATTGTCAGTTTCCAAATTACTTTAATAAAAAAAAAAAACAATAATAGATTTTAGATGTGCAACGAAGTAACTAACAAAAGTTGCGTTGACTTTGAGGGAGCAAATTTCATATGGGACAAATATAAAGTTGGAGTAGTTGAAATTCTACTTGTTTCCACAATTGAAACTTTAGCATGAATTTGAGGAAATTAGACCCAAAAGAGAGTGGATTTTTTATTTATTTATTTTTATAATTATTTGATGCATCAAGACCTAAAAAGGTTTAGACTGTTTCATCAGCGAATGAGAAACACACCTAGCCAGAAAAGCTGATGAATAAGTGGTCCTGATAATCCCAAAGCCAAAAGACTAACAACAAGCCAAATTTTAGCTGATCTTCAACTTTATAAAACGAAGAGACAAAGGAAAAACATAGGCTGAAGATGAACCCTTTACAATTTGTTGTTCTTTATGTACGATAGTATTCTGTCATAGATCTTAAATTATATTTCGATAAGTATTACTGGAGAAAATAAATTATGTGAATATGACTTCCATTCACTAGATTGTGAAATTTTTTCAATCTGCCTTAATGTTATATAAACTGAGGAAATGGTAACCATAAACGCAGGCATATTCTGAGTGAATATTTCTAACAGTAAGATTGCTCAAGACAGATGAGTTTCCACAAGACAATAATAAGTGTGTTAGTGGTAGGACCCCGAAGCATTTGGCTTTGATCTTTGGAAAAACCAGAAAAATGAGAGGATGGAAAAGAAAATCCACTTTGTTTTGGAGGGTGGGGTGTCATCATTTGTTTGTTTTTCCACTAGAAAAGGGGGCAGGCACCAAGAAGGTCATTCTTAGGATAGACACCAATGTCAAACTATTGGAAGTCTTAAATATGATCATTAGGATTGCACTTCAAAATCCACAGAATCTGAATAAAAAGATGTTTCAAGGAAGGAGATATATAGGCAGAACACTCCTCATATGATTGATACTACCATTTGCAAGTCTCTCCTAGGAAATACTACTTACTTTATCCTGATTTCACGGGTTTGATGTTCACTTTTGATAGCCTTTCTATGTCAATGACCATGTCGAAGATTGCATAGAATTTTCTTTGACGTTGTTAATAATCAAGATTGCATTCAGAAAATTGATTGCTATCGTTTTACCCTTCAGGATTAAAGTTCATACAGGCCTGGAATCACAACAAGAACCAAGAGCAGCATTAATTGAGTATGTCCTTTCCTTTCCAGTATTTTTATACCAATAGCATCGTTATTACTTTTGTTATTAGAATTATTATTATTATTATTATTATTATTATTTTCATGGTTTCTGTTTGAGACTTTGAGTAGCGGTTTGATGATGATAAGCATGATATTGAAATTCAAAAGGTACCTTACTAACTAGATAATCTATAAGACCATCGTTTAGTCCTTAGGTGTTAAATCTTAAATCAGAGTCTAGGAAACTTGTTGATTAGAACAAAATTCTAGTTCCCTGCACTATTTCTATCCCCTTTGGTCTCAATAAACATTTTTAACTTTATTTTTCAGTTTCTTGAATTAACAGCGGCATGAAGTGATAAAGAAATTTGGCCTAATTCTCTCCGCATGAACAGAAATGATATTGAGTTGAACCTGTTAGAAGTTTATCAGTCAAGCACCAAACATTCATATAACATTAGAACTCGTGAACAATTCCAGCATGCCATTCATTGACAGTTCCATTGCAGGTTGTGAACATGGCAGAGGCTATGATTGAGGCTCTTGCAGACCGATTAGTTCAAGTTCTGAAGAAGCGAGGTGAATGTGTGCTTGAATTTCAAAGCCAGTTCAACGATATGAAGGCGCAGCTTGATCTGATGAAATCCTTTCTTGCTGATGCTTGCAAGCTCAAAAGAAAGGAGGAAACCGTGAAAACAACCTTAAGCATGCTGCGAGAACTGGTTTATGATGCGGAGGACATATTGACAGATTGCCTAATTAGAGCTGAATATAGGAAGGATGGTTTTCAGTACTGCATCAACTTCACCCCACGGGAATTGCTCTTCCAGTATCAGACAGGAAAGAAGTTGAAAGATATCAATGAAAGAATTAAGAAGATGCAGAAGATCTTGAAAGCCTATTTCAAGACGATTGGACAGCAAAGCATTCATGACGACCGCAGCAGCATAGGAAAGAGGTGGACATCACCGGTTTATGATGAATCTGCCATAGTTGGTTTGATAGAAGATACAAAGAAGATAATAGGCTGGATTCTTCCTGAAAACAGGATGTTGCATCGAGTTGGGATTGTTGGGATGGGTGGTTTAGGAAAAACCACCACAGCACAGAAGATTTTCAACAGCAAACAAGTAGTTGATCGCTTTGAGAAGAGGATTTGGGTCTCAATATCTCAAACTGTCAACGAGGAAGAGATCATGAAGACCATGTTGAAACAACTGGGACATGATGTCAATGGTCTAGATATGGCTCAAATGCTGCCAAAGATTAAGCGACTGCTCGAGAATAAGAACTACCTGATTGTAATGGATGATGTTTGGAGTGCTGAAGGCTGGTGGGACAGAATGTGTGCTGGGCTACCAAAGAGGGAGGGATGGAGTAGTTGCATAATAATCACTACGCGAATAGAAAGTGTCGCGATAGAAATGGGCGTTGAGAAAGCACGGATTCATCAGCCGAGGATTCTCAACGAAGATGAAAGCTGGGCATTGTTCTGCAAAATTGCATTTTCGTCAAATGAGGAAGCAAAAAAGCATTCTGAATTGGAAGAAGTGGGGAAAGATATAGTGAAGAAATGCTGTGGACTTCCTCTGGCTGTTAAGACCATTGGAGGCTTACTGAGATCGAAAGCTCAATCTACTGAAGTTTGGAGAAGGATCTGTCACAATTTTCATGATGCATTAACCGCAAAAGAAAGCGAAAATTCAGTCATGGCTTCTTTGCAGTTGAGCTATGATGAGCTTCCCATTCGTCTGAAGCAATGTCTGTTGTGCTTTTCGCTGTATCCAGAGGACTCTGAGATAGGCGCTGAGCAACTAGTTCATTGGTGGGTTGGAGAGGGTTTCATCGAGGGCAGAAACGCAGCAACCTCGATGGAATTGGCCTTTGACTATCTATCAGAACTAATCAGCAGATGCCTAGTTGAAGTTGTTCAGCATAGAGGTTACGACGGAAGAGTCTACAGTTGCAGGATGCATGATCTGGTGAGGGATTTAACCATCAAAATTGCTAGAGAGGAGGCTTTCTGCAGCTTTGATGAACAAGGCAGGCAAAGACCCTCAGCAAGGTCTCGGCGTCTGAGTTTTACAAATGAAGCCGATGTAAAATCAATAAACAGAAAGTCAAGGCTACGTGCATTGCTGATAATGACAAGTTCCCCAATCCAATTTAACAGGAACATCGTATTATTTAGGATAAAATCCTTAAGAGTGCTTGATTTCTCTCAAAATAAGCTAGAGAACATTTGCATTGAAGACCTATTGAATTGGATCAGTTCCCTCGAACGCCTCTCATATCTGAATCTTAGAGGGGTTTCTGCACTAAAAGAGCTGCCATTTTCAATCGGAAAGCTCCGCAACCTCCAGCTTTTGGTTCTGTCAGGATGCAACAATCTACAGAAACTGCCCTTATCCATCACAGCCCTGCAGAAGCTCATTCTCTTGGATACAGGATACTGTCCTATTCAATACCTTCCACAGGGAATAGGAAGGCTCTCCAATCTTCAAGAGCTATCTGGATTCAAGCTAGTGGGTGCCGACAACAAGGATGGTTGTAGACTAGCCGAGCTCCAAAATCTGTTACAACTTAGGGTACTAAGAGTAAATATAAGTGAAGAAAGTGAAATTGCAGAGGAGGAACTAACAGTCCTGTCACATCTCAAGCAGCTTAAGGTTTTGTCTATCAACACCGAAGGATGTGAGAAAGAAGAGATCTTCCAGAAGCTGGATAGACTTTTGCCTCCTCCATATCTGGAAGAGTTGCATCTCAGACATTATCGCGGAGTACTTACACCGCAATGGATAAATCCCACATCACTCTGTCACTTGCAATATCTTTGCATTGAAAATGGAGACATGAAGTCCACAAGTCCTGCCTTCGAGGGTTGTAGTGGCACCACTTGGAAGGTTGAGGGCTTATGCTTGAAGTTCCTCCCAAGGTTGCACATGGAGTGGGAAATGGTGCAGCGAGTGATGCCCCGGATAAGGTACGTAGAGGTTAGCCACTGTTACATGTTGAAGTCATTCCCTTGTAACACAGACAAACTAGGAATGTGGAGAAAATGAGAGACAAATTTGATGATTGTAAGATTGAAGCTGGAAGCAGCACAGCTTCAGCGTCAAATAATCTGCAGAAGCTAAGAGTCCTCCTAGTTAATGTTTTCCTTGTATTTAAGATATCATCTACGTTGTGTAAATCATAGCTCCAATCGGTCAAATAATTTTAGTTTCTTTCTATGTGGTAAGTATACTTTAGGTGGATGGACACACCATAAGTAAAGTTGGTCCCGCCAACTGATACATCTGCAGAAGCAGAAGCTCAGTGCATGCATCCATTTTTGGACTCAAATAAATGAACTGGCCCATCATATTACTGAAGAGTACAAATGGGTTCCCATCATAACATTACAAACAGTTAAAGCAAGCTAGCTAGCCTAGCAACCATCTTAGAAGTTCTCTCGGACTGTGAAATCAAATGCAAACATGTTTTTCTGTTGCATCTCCCATGCTAGGTTTGTAACAAAGAGAACCGTGTGAAATTTACCAGCAAAGATTCATTCCGTTCACAAAATCATCTCTTGCCAAATTCTCCTGTCTTGCCCTTGGCGCATGCTCTGAGAGAAATGTTGAAACTGATGAACCTGTAGAGAGGGCGGGCTGGTCATAAAAATAGACACATTATGGACTTAGGGACGACAATTTGCCTCGTCCTGCTCCCAGTCAACGCAAGGATTTTCTGCATTGACTAGGGAATGGAGAGGGGCAGGGCAAGGGAGGGCCTCGTGTGAACGGAAATAGGCGGGGATGGTATTTCCTGTCCCGTCCCGTTTGCCTTATTTTATAATTTTTATTTTTAAAATTATAATTATATCCTATGTAAAATTTATTATTAATGATTTTTAAGATTTATTTTTTATATAATTTTTTTTTTTTTTTTTTTTTTTGAATTTTGAAAATAGAATGAGATAAGATGAGATAAAAAAAATTTAATAAGTTTTTTATCCCGACCATATTGAAGCGAGAATAGTATGATAAATTTTCTTGCGCTCGAGACACAGGATAGAGATGAGACAAACATGAGGCGGGGATGCCCGCACCATTGCCATCCTAAATTAGGGTCTGTTTATTACTTATCAGATCAAAGAGCTTATCGGTATAGGCCTTCTTGCTGTCAAGGACTATGGTAGGCCACAACCACCCATCTTTGAAGAGGTCCTTTCCTTTACATCAATTTAAAGAAGGCCCAGCAAAGAAAATTGCAGTCAATAATATGGGCTGCAAACAATTCAAATTGTCCAGCATTGCATAATTACAGGCCTAAATTCCTAACAACAAGAATTTCGATATTCAAATCACAGAACTACAAGCAATGACCTAGCCAATGCAAACTTAACCTTGACGGTCCATACAATCTGCTTTGCTCACATTTGGAATGACCAATGTCTATGATTAAGAGATAAAAAGTAGCCCAGCACCTGATGGATCCTCTAACGTAAAAAAAGGAAGATAGTTTTATAATATGGTCATTTACTGAGGTTGCCTTCTTTGTCCCTTCAAAAGCACCAAAAAAAGTGCGGAAACAGAGTTGAATTCGATGTTAAGCACTTGGGCTGAGTTGATGCAATATAAGAGCGTCAAGGGATGAAAAATATGGGCCCTAAAAACTGACTTGCACAAAGCAATACACAAACCAAATTTGATTTGTAGCAAAAATGTACAGTGGTATCACTAAACAGTAGGTTAATTTTAAGTCCTACCATTAAGGATTCCATAAGACCAGTTTTCACCATTAAGAATCTACTTAATCCACCTGGACTTGTTAAATTCTAGGATATTAATGGTCCTTCCAAAGTAAAGCTACATATTCCAGCTCTCCTAATATTATAACTCCGGATTCTTACATGTTTTAGACAAAGACTCAAAAAAGGGTGTATGATTCGTTGACAAAGCATAAGATATTTCATTTTCCTTCCTACATTCTGAAAGAAACAGAGCCATCGTCATAAGAGAACAGGACAAGCTTCCACGTACATCCACTTATTATCACCCTGTTTGGAGCAGCTAACAATAATATAACCAAATTACTTAAAAGATTGCTTCCAAAAGCACTAAACAATGACAAGGAAAACGATAGGGCATTTCTTGCCGCCTACAACTTTGTTTCAAGTAGTTATCAGCGATGGGAACCGCAGTGACCACAAAAGTCAAGTTGTTATCCTCGTGTTCTAGCCAAGTGGTCACTACAGATTGGAACATATATTATGATAAGCAAAACATAAGGTATTAGTAATTAAGAGTGGGTTTGGTAGCTACTTTCTTTATCAATTATTTCGGTGTCTTCCTTTATATTTGTCAACTTATAACTTTGGTTTGGTTTATACTTTCGAAGACGCAATTGTTTTAAATTAAATGAAGTTGACAGTGACGGTTGTAGCAAGAAAGAAAGATAGTTAAGTAGGCACTAATCCTCATTATTAAATTAGATGAACGAAATGGATCCATGTAACAAGGAATTTTTAGAGGGAGAATATCCACGGAAAATTTATCAAAATCCAAAAACAAATGTAATTCATATAGAGCAACAAAGATTGGCTTCTGGGGTATCATAGAAACTGCCTCAGAATCAAACTGGGCTAGAATCAGAAAGGATATTGCATTCTTTGCACAACATCATCATTGTCCCATCTTAGATGAACATGGGAAATAAAATATTAAAGAAGCTGGAAACCTCCAGAACCCATAATATTTAAAAAACACAAGTAGTTAAAGAAAGTCTATCTTCCACTGTTTGATAGCAAGAATAACATGATCAGCATGCTGGGAGTGTTGTTGTTGCTTCATTAAAATTATTGCAAGACAGGCAAGTTTCTTGCATTTCCATTAAACAATGTTTAAGCAGCAATCAGTACTGATGTAAAGTTCAACAAAACAGAAGATTTTTTATATTACCTATTCTTCATAGCCAATTGGTCAAGATGAAAGAATATACGATTAGACCAAAGGAGTAAAATAGTGTTTCTCAACAGTGGTTCAGGTGGCTATATCCTTACACTTATCCACTCTTGTCTCTTTAATCTTAAGCATGCCTATATTTTTATATTCTCCTCTGTCATCTATCCACAGGCAGAACTTTTGAAAACCCTTCTGAAACTTTATGCTAAGATGTAACTATCCTTGAGGTGTTAACTTCAACAATGCTAGATGTTAGGAAGACAGACCCAAAAAAAAAGCAGAAAAGTTTACTACAATATAATAGCACATCTTGTTGATTGTCCTGATCTAAATTGAGAATTCAATAACAAAAAAAATATAATATTTTTAGCTACTTCTGTCGTCGTCTCATAGGCCATACACTTAAGACAAACATGTTCATCGTTATAATTAATCTCATTGATTACAGATAATTTAATACAACAAATTATTCTTTTATAAATCATCTACAGCACACCACGACAAACAGTTGCAACCCTACTGTTGATGATGACTGTTTCTTGGGCCCAAAATGGGCCTGTAGCAGAGGCCCGACAAGAAAACCATGAGAGATCTCCCCCACGTGTGGGTGGGGTTTTTTTAAAGGGCCAGTCAAAGTCAACATCAAGGATTACACGTGTTTGTGTCCGACGACGTGACGTGTCGTAGAGTCGCCACCGTGTGATGTGGCCATTGGATTTTCCGCTTCCAACAATTTCTAGTTGGGCCGTCACCTTCGGCTTAACCATTCACGTGGATTTGGGCCAACAGAGAAGTGCTTTGTTTTTGGTTGTGTGGCTCTAAATTTAGCCGAGATAGCTAATCATTTGGTCATTTTTGCCCTCGTTTTGCCGTAAATTATAAATTAGTCCTTCTATTTTTTAAAAATGGATTAATAAATCTGTCTTAAAAAAATATTAATTATTTAATCATTTAATCAATGTGGACCAAGTTAAATTTAATAATTTTTATTCTAATTTTTTTCTCATCAATCTTTCCATAATATCTATTTAAAAAAAAAACAAAAAACAAAATAAATTTTTTTAAAAAGCATAAAATGAATTAAAAAAAAACTGATTTATTCATTTTTCAAAACTAAAAACACTAATTTATAATTTATTTTTTGTTTGCCCCAATCTTTTGGACCCACTTTTAGAGATTAATAATTTGGAAGAAAGTCTTTCTTTCTTTCTTTCTTTCAATTTGTTTGTTGTTATTCGAGTTCCTAATAGGCAAAGGAGACATTGATTTTCAACACTGGATTTTTGGGAGTTGCAGTGGATTCCCCCAACCCAAAAATATTGGCTTTGGTTTAAGCAATTAACTCATATAACATACTCCGCCAAGAATTGTTTTGGCTTCGTGATAAATTATAAATCAGTCCTTCTAATTCTGATAAACAAATTATTCAATCTTTTTTATTTCATAAACTAATTATTTCATCTTTATTTTTATTTTATTTTTTTTTTGTCTTTTTTTTTTTTTTTTTAGAGGGGAGGAGGGGGTTTGGGGGGGAAGCCATGGGTTTGAGTTAATTGTTGTTGTTAAACACTCACTGTCTATCAGTCTACTTTTCCCCATTATCAGCATCACTGAAAACCATAATTGGCTACTATCACAGTCGATGTTGGTTTGGTTGTCTCTAAAAGCAAGGGTTCAGTCAACCCCAAAGCTTTAATCACCCTTTTCAATCACTCTCAATCAATCCTCATTTTTCTTCACCATGTGCTTTCCAGATGGTTAATCACTAACATAGCAAAAGACAGGCAAGGAAGTTATGGGGTTAGCCTAAATTCATGCATAAAAAAGATCATCTGCTTCCATGTCCCTTTACGCTCCATCAATCTTTCCACCAAGGAGAATCATATACAAACACTTGACTCGTCATCCCTTGCCTCAAATTAGACATTTCTGTTTCGTGAAAACACCTTCATCCATCCATAAATTCACACTTCATTCTTGTTAAAGAATGTATGTATTTCTCTCTCTCTGAACTTCAACGAATCCAATACTCTCTGACAAAACATTCAATCGATTGAATTATTCAACAAAAAGGGATGTTAGCTCACGTTTATAGTGAATGAATCGTTTATAGCATGGACGATCCTCAATCATCTGTTTGATTGAAAATTATTTTATTTTTTTGAAATGAACCATCGATATAATTTTTGTAAACTTGAGAGACAAAAGATTCTTATTAATTTAATTGAATTTGAAGGGGTTGTTTGCATTT